TATTATTATTATTATTATTATTATATAAAAAGGACAAGTGTGCTCGTTGGAAATTTTGAAAAGAACCCTAAGAAATTCAAAGTTCCTGTTTTGAGTGCGTGGCTAGGATTTTTTTCACCCCTAAGAGAAACCAATTCTAAAACAACACATTAATTGACACTTTCATAATTTTAAAAAGCGATGTAGACGATAACTTTGAATACCTTCAAGTTGATTGCCAAATATCTCGTCATGTTTTTCGGCTCAATACCCTTAAAGGCATCGTGGAAGTTCTCGTAGTGGATCTTTTAAGGTGAACACTTTAAGAGGTACAAAAACCACTTTTTTAACCCCTGAAATGTACAAAGAGCATCCCCGTCCTTTTATACGGGAGTTACCCCCGGGGGAAAGCAAAGGCAGAAACTGGAGGAAGCAAAAACGATGAGGAATTTGAGAACGAGTTTGAGTTCGGCAGTGAGAATGACAAGCCTGAGTAGAATCCATTTCTAGCAAATAAAACCGTTCTCTTCGGAGCCACTATGTCAATCTATAAGAGTAAATGACCAATATTGTCTCCTTTATTTTAGTCTGATCATAGGGAAAAATGAAATCTCCCTTTTCATTTCAGTTCGATGTCAAAATCTCAGTTCAAAGGTGACTGGCGAGTGGTTATGTGTTGACCTGATGACAAGTAGCAAGAAGTGACCTGGATGCGATACTAGTCCATTGCAGGTTACCCCTTCCCAACCTAGCCTGTAAGCAGGGGAAGAAGTGGTGGAGCTACATAAGATAAGTTAGGGAGGTCACTTTTCTTGCCAGCTCATCTATCATGGCTTCACAGCGCATGCGAGTCTGCCGGCAGGCCCTCTCAAGCACCCCATTTTGTAAGACTACAATAACAGGTTTCTGATTCCTATTTAGGCCTGGTCCACACTAACAGCAATGGCGAGGTGACATACACCCACAAAAAACACTTTAAAAACAAATTAATGTTGTCTTGTCACTAGTGTGAATAACAGCATAACATACACCACAAAAATTATGGCAAAAGTATTGCAGTGATCTTTGTCTTTATGTCCATGTTGTTATATTGTGTTATGAATGTCACTTGATGAGGACAGACTGGAACCCAGACTGCGTGATCCAGACTCTGGTGCACCAACCATCAGTGAGTTTCTGTTACATATAAAAGGGTATATATCAGTCTCCCATATGAGTTTAAGACCCTTTCACAAGGCAACTTCAGAAGGTCCTCAACGCCCTGTCACAATATCAACACTTATTATATGATTACCTGCGTGAGCGGGCAAGATGAACCAAATTCTGTGCTGTGATTGGCTACCCAAGTAAGCAAGATGGGCTATCTTGCCAGCTCTGGATCACCTGCTGAGTCCCACAAGAACATAGTATTCTTTTTCCATATAATAAAATTAATCCTTTGTTGACCAAGCTTGTTCTGTCAAGATGACTGGATATTGGCCTTGTTCTTTTTTTTTGCCTGTTTGTGGACCTCGTCTCCATCTCAGTCCATAAACACGCAAAAAAAAAAAAAAAAAAAAA